TGCGCGGGGGGCCACCCCGCGCCCGGGGCCCACGTGCCGGCGGCAGGACCCCCTCCCTGCCTGCGCGTCCTCGACCCCGACCCCGCTCCTCTGGAAGCGAGGGGCGCGGGCCGCGCCCCGCACCGCCAGCAGCGCTGTGATGTTTGGCACCTCCCTCCCCTGTGCCCACCTCACCTACAAGCGCTTACCTCCTTTCAAGCTGCGGCCACTGCTGTGCTAGGAGCAAAACGGACTAAGACAAACTCCGATCAGGATTGCGCGATGGCGAGTTGCTGCAGAACTGGGAGGGTAATCCTTCCCCTGCGCGCAGCGCAAGCTCCACTTCTGCTAACAACCCTGACTCATGCCGAACAAGCACCGTTACTTGTTCTTGAGGCGCAGCCTGTGCCGGGAGGGAGGACATTTTTTCCTGTAGCGTATGCCCAAGACAGGGTTTAAGAAAGTTGGGCTATGGGGAACGGATCCGGATTTTGCCCTTAACGTTTGTACAGCACCAGGCACAGATGCCTTCTAGTCTTTAGCAAGGATTAAAACGCATCTAACAGAGAACAAGTGAGACGATAATGGCAACCCCTGGACCTGCTAGACAATTGTCAGAGTATGCAAAGGGCAGCTGGTCCAGAGAGATCAGCACAGGCTCCCTGCGGAATCAGGGCGGTGATTATCATCACAGCAAAGAATTCCCGCCGTAGGCTCAGGACTCCATGCCAAGAAACAACTTGTGCCACTGAGAGACTCCAATGCTCTTGTGCCCTCTAGTGCCTGATAGCAGTTCACATGCACTCAAGCATTACTGGTGAGGTTTAGCACGCAAAAATGCTCAGATTTGTGCAGCAGCAAAAACCAAATAAATTGGAAGAAAACAAAACGTTTATTTCAAGAATAAAAACATACAAATGATTGAAACATGTTCAGTCCAAGAACTAATGTACATGTGACATTCAGACACTTTAAATTACACTTAATCGCACCGTCAGTCCATGGAGCAGAACTTTCCCTGGACTTGTTCCACCTCCTGCTAGACTTAAAAAAAACAACCTGAGCACAGTACTTGTCTTCCTGTTTCACTACATACCCCTAAGTATAGGAGCCCAAGGCCATGCAGCTTCCCCAGGAATAGCGGTAGATGTGCGGCAGTGCCAGACCTTCAAAAGTCTTGCTGGATGTTCTCCTTGTTCGCTTCCCCATGCTGCTGCTTAATCTGTGAGATTTCATTTTCAAGCTGCACAATAGTTCTCTCAATCTCATAGTTTTTACTGACCAGAGACACCCACCTGAAAACAAGAGACAAAAATGCTTGGCTGAATACTGTTTCTGACTATTCTAAACGATGCAGCTATTTAATTATAAGAATTATTGTTCTGAGCAGTCTTAAATCGGACAGTTCCCCGGTGTTTCACGAGGCCATCCAGCACGAACCAGAATTATAGAAAATTCTGTCTCTGTACCTCTTTTAAACCACAGGTCAGGGTTTACATGGCACACAAGGGGATAAGTCTCCTCCGAACACCAAAAAATAAATAAAAATCCCGCTGTCATCTTAGATGACAAAGCTTGAGAATAAATTTAAATTTGTAGGCCATTCCAGATTGCTGATACGCCCTTCTCCTTCCCACAGCTTTGCTCACAGCTTCAGTCACCCACCCTTGCGTTACCCCAGCAGCTATTCTGGGCACTTCAGTCTCTGCTTATAACACATTTGCATGGTGACGACAATACTGTAAAAGCACCTAAAGCCATGAAGAATATACATTTGGGTGGGGGGGTGGGGAAGGCTGAGTACTCACATTGACTCCATCTCTCGTAGCTTAGACCCAGCTGTAAGTTGCATGTTTTTACGCTGCCAGTTGAGATCTTGAATGTTTTTCCTATGAGAAAACATTACAGGTTCTTTAACCACACAACTGCATTTGCCTTGTCTGCTTCCTTGAAAGCAGAAGGAGCTGCTGTACTTGGAAAGCAGCCCACCATCCTCATAATGCTCTTGGGAAAGGACCCCAAGTAAATCAGATGCAGAGTACCAGGCATTGAAGCACAAGGCCCAGTATAGACTTGCACACGTGCTAAACCTGAAAAATAAGGAGAACGTGTGCACAAAAGTTCATGAAGTGAAACATCAGGCTACTGCTCATGCAGGGCAGAAGTAAAGGTGGCCAAGAGCACTAAGCTGCCCCATCCTCATGCAGGCTACGGAGATGCTCTAAAGCACAAGTACAGAACACCCTGGAATGCACACGGAGACCATTTGGAACATTATATTTTTTACAGTATATTTATGCAACTGTCTAACTGGTGTTGCCTGTCAAAGGCATTTTAGCTGGATTGCTAATGTGATCAATCAAATGCCAACAGATATCCCTGTGCTTTACATACTCCTAGTGACCAATCTAGGTATCTACTCAATGCTATAGCTCCAATCAGCATAACTAGAGAGCATACCACACAGAAGCCATCACACATCCATGTACCATGTGTCAAGAAAATTGGAGTCTGGGGAAAAAAAAAAGTCCACCAGTGCAAGTTCATCTCCACAAGCAACCAAGGTTAGCTTTTCTTCACGAAGGACTAATTCAAACACTTAGTTTCAGGACAAGACTAGGTCCTCATCTCTACAGCCACTGCAACAGCCCAAGGATGAAGGCTATATTAAAATTTTGTCCAAGATTTAGAAGGAGAATGGGAAATAGCTGTTCTTACCTCAGTTTCTGCAGTTCTTTCTGGGCTTGTTCTATCATATGAACTAGATGTCTAATAGCAAAATGAAAAGCATAAAAACAACATTAGGAAACACCATTAGCTCAGAAGTAGAGGTGCCAGCAAGTCTCCCTTTCATTACTCTAGACCCGGGGTGCTCAACTTCTGGCCCACAAAGCATCTGGCCTGCAGAGCTTCCCACAGGTCAGGAAATTTGGCGGCTGGGGAATAGTGGCCATTAATACCGGCACCACCCCCCCGCTGCCAAATTCCCACCCCCACTTCTTGCTGCACAGCTGTATTTGGGCCGGGCCACTCCTGCCAGGTGGGGCACCAGATCCAGCCCACAGAAGCACCGGGCACTGCCTATCTGGCCCGCTGGGGAACAAGGTTGAGTAAAACTGCTCGAAAGTGAAGCAAGCAAACTGCTCATCACAGTAACCACGTAGGCCAGGGTGTCCAATGTTTGCAGGCCTCACCTGGAACACGCACGCACATCTCATGCAATCATCTTATAGTAGCCTGCATGATTTAGAGAAACAGAACAGAAACGGACTCCAAGATCATCGATTTTAGTCCCCTGCTATTGGAGTCTGATCAAGTAATAATGTGATGGGGTTTTGCCCATCTGGAAACACCTCTCCCCCCTGACACTTTCAACTGATGAGCTCCCAGGTTACGCTGCCAAGTTTTGTTTCAAGCCTCAAGCACATAAATTTGTTTCAGTTTTAATTTACGGGCTCACAAGTATTGGGAATTCCTCCGACTTGACTGTTACTTGAATTCTCAACATGTCCCGCACCCTGCTAACTACCAGGAGTGGCTCCACAGATCACAGCGGGTGAATCCCTGAAGGAAGCCATTCTCACTGGCTCCCGCGATAACTGCAGGGATTTGGATTTCCCCGCTGTAAAGGCGGTCTTAAGTGGAGTTACCGTTCTGCTAGATTTGGGGACCTTGCCGAGAGGAACGCGCGCCGAGAGCTGATTTCTTGGAGCCAGGCTCCCCGAGCAGGCCGGGGACATGCGAAGCAGCGCTGGAGGCATGCGGGCGCCACTCCGCCAGGCGACGCAGAGACGCAAAGAGAGGACCTAGGTGCCAGACCCGTGTAACCACTGCTAGCGTCAGCAAGCAAGGCCGGACGGGTTTTCTTCACCCACCCACGCCCCCCGCTCTGGCTGTGCAGTGGGTCTGAGGCAGGTGCTCAAGCGACTGCTAGGAAGCTGCCGTTACTGCGGTGAAGACGCCTACGTAAAAGCCGGCGGGGGCGCTGCAAGCTGGGCTGGTGGTAGGAAAGGCCCACGTACTCGTTGTACACCTTCCAGCCGTTGCAGCCGTGCTGAGACATCAGCTCCAGGTTCTCGATGCGGACCGCCTGGTGCTCCAGCTGGGCCATCGAGTTGTTGACGCACTCCTGCCAGGCCGTGATGTCGTTCTTCTGGCCGGAGGAGGGAGCCGGCAGCTCGTACCTGCGGGGACAGCACAGCGCCCGGCTCCCAGCTCCGGC